CGTTAGTATTAGCCCCCAAATCCCTATTCATCCTATGTAATACCTGAAGTTATTAAGCAAAACAACAGTTAAAAATGTTTTTTTTTTTACCTTGGCCTGGTGATGAACTGCAACTTAAAGTTACTGGCTCCATGCTAAACAGATCACACTGCAATAAAGATAGGCACCATTATTTACGAAGACAGCATGGCCAAAGCATGGCATTATCTAATAAATATATATTTTTTTCAGAGTTAAAAACAGGGAACATACCTCCTCTTGCAGTCCAGCAGCAATTCAAGAGAGTTTCTGTTGAAAGAGAAAGTCTCCAAGCTATCTGAGGTTTTTAGACCATCCTAACTCTTTTGTTTCAAAATAGTTAGCAGGTTGATTGGATCACCCCTCCCTAGCATTCCCTTTTGTGATCTGGGAGGAATAAGTTTTCTGCACAATTGGCCTGCTTTTCTTTTTTAAGTTCAAATACATATTTTCCCCCCACCCCTGTAGGGCCTTCTTACAATAACCGTTTCAAGTGAGGGACCCTTTGCAGATATCAATGAATGTCTTGGGGCTTGTGTTTTTTGTTGTTGTTGTTTTTTTTAAACATGTGTCTTTCATGCTTAAAGTTGGGTGGGGTGGGGGTGCTTTCTAGAAAAAGTGCCCCATGGCCTTCAGCCAACTCCTGGGTCATATTTAAACTGGCCTATAGCGTTCCACCAACGCCTGGCGTCATATTTAAACTGCCCAATAGAGTTCTGCCAACTCCAGGGGTTATATTTAAACTGTCCAATAGCATCTGTGAACTCCTGAGGTTTTATTTCATTTCATATTAATCAGAACTCACCATCCTCGCCCACCCACCTCCCTGACGATGGGTGCACCCCCCCCCGCATCAAAATTAACCCTATGGCCACAAGGGTGAGTAATCACGGTCACTCTGGCTATTCAGTGAGGGGGGTGGTTAAACCCATTCAGTTCAACAGGATAAGTCAGCTCTATTGTCCTCAACCACATGTCTGAACAATCCCTGTTTGTTTTATTGTAAACACGTTTTTAGGATATTTTTTCCCCTTCCACAACATACATTTCAGCTTTTTCTTTTTGCTGTCAATGGGTCTCTCTCTTACACAAAAGACACAAGAGCAAGGTGCTCACAAACAATTTTTTATTTAAAAGACATACAGCTCCTTTAAAACAAACCACAATACTCCATTAAAAAAAAAAAAGAAAGAAAGAAAGAAAACCTTTAAACTCCCTTAAGGGCCAGAGCCCTTTTAACAGAAATACAGAGAGTCACAAAGCCCTTTTCAATAGATTTTTTTTTTAAATTTACAGCTACCAAGTTTTATATCGCATGTTTGGCCCCTCGCCATTTTCTAACTTAATCCTTTTAGATTTCTTACAAATAGCCATTTTCTTAAGCAGGGTTTTGTAACTTTTTGTGCGGACCAGCTGGTCAATATAACGCTCTAAGCAGGCATCTTCCGGTTTGGTCATTTTCTTTAAAACACAGCCACGGTCTCCACTGAATTGCACAGCATTTATCAAGGTCACCCCTTGCGCTAAATGTTCTTGGGTTAGACACAGACAGTGCGTAGCATAACCTATGGCAATCACAGTGGTTAATAAGCTTTCCAAACCCAGCTCAGCACACAGGCCCCGGAGCTGGCAGTTTATATCCACTGAAGTCCAAGTCACACAGTCATGGTGCCGCTGGCCTGGCGCATCTATGACACAGCCCTCACAATCTTCAAAAAGCTTTTCCCTGAGACAGTGATTAAGAACAGCATAAACAGCAACGCGTACAATAGTCCGCATGACTTTGTTACACTCACGACGTGACACTGGCTCAGTCAGTTCCATGCCAAGCCTCCTCCTCAACTCCTCCTAGCCGTCATCCTCGGAGTCCTCTTCAACATTTTGTATCAGCGTTGAGCAAAAACAAGGGGGGCCCAGTTCATCGTTGCCGCTTGGTGCAACGCTGTCCAGGGTCTCCAGGTCCTCTAGAACGGCATCATCGAGCTGTCGAGAGATTTTTTTCAAAAAAGAAACAGCGTAAGCACCCCACTGCTTGGTTTTTGATTTACACAATCCCTGGTTCCTAGCCCCCCATTACACACCCCACCCCGACCGTCACCTCTTTAACATTCATTTACCTGAGCCATGTCTTTTGCAGTCACCTTGTCTGCCCGTAACTCCCCCAAGCCATGATCTCCTTCCTCCTCTCGGGGGGTGGACAACAAGAGGCCATCACGCTCATCGCGGTGCCTCACAAGCAGCCGGGTTTCGGGGTCCCGTGTGTCCATCAATGGTTGGGCCAAAGGGCTCCCCTCAGTCGCCCCCACCTCCTCCTCGGAACTCTCGCTGATGTAGCGCTTTCTCTGCGGTTTGTCAAAGGCCCTCGGGTCTAAAACAAAGTCCGAAGTTCCCACAGGGGTGGTGAAGGAGTCCATGTTTCCACGATTTCTAAAACACGAGCTCTTGGTAAAAGACAGCCTCTTCTGCCCGACGCTGGGACTTATGGGGTGATGGTGCTGCGTTCTGATTGGCAGAAGGGGTCATATGCCCCTCTTCTGGGCGGTTCACCCCATCCCAGAACCTGCCCTAGTTTGGTCAAATCTGCTCTCGGTGCGGCCTGATTGGCAGACGTTGGTGGGAGGAGGAGTTGTTAGAGGGGTCACATGAATCATTTCCAGATGGGTCACCCCGCTCCGGAACTCATCCTGATTGGTCAGATCTCCTCTTGGTCCTATAGGGACAAAACCCCTCCTGATTGGTAGAGGGTGGGAGGAGGAGTTGTTAGAGGGGTCACAAGACCCACTTCTGGGGAGGACATACCGCCCCGGAAATCGCCCTGATTGGTCAAATCTCCTATTGGGGGAAGTCCTACAGGGGCGAAACCTCTCCTGGTTGGTAGAGGGCAGTGGGAGAACTTGTTAGAGGGGTCACATGACATACCTTGCTTCCGGTCTTGTGGCAGCCTTGACCCCGGAATTAATACCCCATTGGGGTGGGACTTCCGGTGGGGGGGCAGAGGTCAAGGGCTAAGTGGTCAAGGGGCGGAGTTAGGGTTTGATTGACGGTAGGGCCATTATACTACGAACCTCACTGTCACCTGACCAAAATGACCAATGAGGAGATAAGATACTTTCAAAAGCTGGGAGGAGGGAGAAAAACAAAGGGTCTGTGTCTCTCTGTGTGATGCTTTTGCTGGGGACAGAACAGGAATGGACTCTTAGAACTTAGTAACAGGTTTCAGAGTAACAGCCGTGTTAGTCTGTATTCGCAAAAAGAAAAGGAGGACTTGGGCACCTTAGAGACGGACCAATTTATTTGAGCATGAGCTTTCGTGAGCTACAGCTCACTTCATCGGATGCATACTGTGGAAACTGCAGCAGACTTTATATGCACACAGAGATCATGAAACAATACCTCCTCCCACCCCACTGTCCTGCTGGTAATAGCTTATCTAAAGTGATCATCAAGTTGGGCCATTTCCAGCACAAATCCAGGTTTTCTCACCCTCCACCCCCCCCACACAAATTCACTCTCCTGCAGGTAAAGCCCATCCAAAGTGACAACTCTCTTCACAATGTGCATGATAATCAAGGTGGGCCATTTCCTGCACAAATCCAGGTTCTCTCACCCCCTCACCCCCCTCCAAAAACCAAACACACAAACTCACTTTCCTGCTTTTTGTGTGACGGATGATAATGAGGAACTTTAGCACCAGAAAAGTGCTGAGTCCAAGGGCAGGGGCCATCGCGTGTGCTGACTGCCATGTACCTCCCTCCCCACATCGAAGGCAAAGCCCACGTGGGTGGGGGCCCTGCCAGCTTGTTCTCTGGGAGAAGAAGCTGTAAGAATGGATTCAGGGAAGGATCCTGCCACGCTGGGCTGGCTGGACTCTTACAGGGACCAGCACCAGATGCAAAGCAGGGATCCCCGGAGACGGTCTGGGGGCACCTGAAAAGACTTGGGAGAATGGCAGTTTGTTCCATCACCGCCACCGTTTGGAATTACAGACTGCAACTCATCTGGGCATGAATTTTACCGCCTTTAACCCCTCGTGACCCTCATTCAATTTCCTTAGCTCACGAACCTTTAGCGAGTTTCCTACAGACCTGGCTGCCAGCGTTGCCTTTGCTGTAGGATCTGGGGTCCCGTGGCTCTGGGGTAAGTGACCGGTCTCCTGGGGCTGGGAACAACCTGGGTGGGCTGGTTTGGGGTGTACGTGACCTTTCCTCACAAAGTCCGGCTTGTCTGAGAGTATCTGAGGGGACTGGCTGTGACTCCGGGGTCAGACGGGGGCAGCGATCCAGGAGTTCACGCTGGGTGAAATCTGCTCACAGAGCACCACCGGTTGGGGGGATCTGCCCTGTTTCCTGACACCTTCCCTGAGCCCGGCACTCCCAGTGGAGCCGCCCCAGAGAGCGGGATGAACTGAGCCCTGCAAAATCAACCTAGAAGGACATTTCTCCCCTCCAGGGCGTTCCCGCCCGCCTGGACAGCTGGGTGAGCCACGGCCTCTCCTTCCCACAGCCCTCCTTCCCCAGGGGAGCTCAGCCCGCCGGTGCCTTTCCCCCAGCCATGGGCCTTGCTCTGGGGGAGGGGGTCCAGGCAGGACTCCTGGGTTCCATTCCCTGGCCCTGCAAAGGGGAGAGGGGTCTAGTGGTTAGAAGAGGGAGCTTGGGAGCCAGGACTCCTGGGCTCTATCCCTGGCTTTCAGAAGGGAGTATGGTCTGGTGGGTTACAGGGTGGGGTACTGGGAGTCAGGACTCCCGGGTTCTCTTCCTGCCAGCATCACTTGTGCACAGATAGGGGTGGGGTGGGGGGGCCCGGTAGGGGGCGGTCAGGGGACAAGGAGCCAGGGGGGTACTTTCTGCACAACTTGCTTTATTCAGCCAATGCACAAAATTAACCCGCAATCCCCCCCAAAGAGAAGCAGCAGCCGGTGGCGGCTGAAGGGAGGTGCACTGCAGCCCGGCACACAGCAGAAGGGGAGGATGCCAGGCCGGGGCTCAGGGCTCCCCGATGCCTCCACTGGCCCTGGGAGCTGGGTAGCACTCGGCCCAGATCAGGTTCTCCACCACGCCCTGGACGTATTTCCTCTCCCCCTCTCTCTTCATGCAAGCGCCAGGGGAGGCACATCCAGCCACAGCCTTCTTCATGGTGATGTCACCTGGACGCGGGGGAGAGAGACGTCATCAGGGGCTCCCCCATCCCCTCCCCCATCCCCCATGTGCTTTCTCACCCACTCCCCTCCTAGCAGGACTGCACCCGGCTCTGCAGGCAGACTGGGGTCTAGTGCTCAGAGCAGGGGGCCTGGAACAACGTGAGAACATAACAGAGGAATGGCCACACCAAAGGTACATGTTAGGATATAGATATTCAGGCCTGTCTGCAAAGGCCTATACTCTAAGAATTTAGGTGTATTCTTATCACTTGGCTAGTGATAGAGGTATAAAAGAAAGAATCAAAATCAGTGTCTGCCGGTGTAAGGGCCTTCTCTTACTGTGACAGTTTGTGGCCCTGTGCTTAGGCTCAGGCCTTTGGCTAAGCAGCAGAAGCTGCCATAAGCTGGGAAGCGACCGGGCACATCCTCACATCCCAAACTAGTCACACTGAAATAAGGTGCTATTGGGCTGTCAGGCACTATCAGGACAGGATTGTATTCCTATCACCTCCAGAGAAAGGGAAGTGCCTAGAAAATGTAAAAGGAAACTTAGTTTGAGAGCATCCTGTCTGGCAAGAACTCACTTATCAATAGCTGGGATGTGAAATCCTCACTTCTGTATTGTTTTGTCATTATAGTTCCCACTTTGCTGTTGTTTGTCTGTGTAATCTCTGTCTGGTTCTGTGATTGTTCCTGTCTGCTGTGTAATTAATTTTGCTGGGTGTAAACTAATTGAGGTGGTGGGATATAATTGGTTACATAATCATGTTACAATATGTTAGGATTGGTTAGTTAAATTTCAGGAAAATGATTGGTTAAGGTATAGCTAAGCAGAACTCAAGTTTTACGATATAATCTGTAGTCAATGAGGAAGTGACTGGGGGTGGGCATGTGGGTGTGTGAGATGGGAACAGGGAATGGGGGTAAGAAAATTGGAATCATGTTTTGCTAAAGGGGGAGATGGGAACAGGGAATGGGGGTAAGAAAATTGGAATCATGTTTTGCTAAAGGGGGAAATGGGAACAGGGAATGGGAGTAAGGAAGTTGGAATCATGTTTGGCTAAGGGTAGGAATGGGAACAGGGACACAGGTGTAAGGCTCTGTGGTGTCAGAGCTGGGAAGGGGGACACTCAGGAAGGAAACGGGAATCATGCTTGCTGGAAGTTCACCCCAATAAACATCGAATTGTTTGCACCTTTGGACCTCGGGTATTGTTGCTCTCTGTTCATGCGAGAAGGACCAGGGAAGTAAGTGGGTGAAGGAATAAGCCCCCTAACAGTACATCTAGCCCAGGATCCTCTGGCCAATGCCAGGTGTCCCAGAGGGAATGAACAGAACAGGGAACCTTCCACTGATCCATCCCCTGTTGCCCATTCCCAGCTCCTGGCAAACAGAGGCTGGGGCCACCTTCCCTGCCCATCCTGACTAATACCCACAGATGGACCTGTCGTCCAGGAACTTCTCTAGTTCCTGTTTGAACCCTGTTATAGTCTTGGCCTTCAAAACATCCTCTGGCAAGGAGTTCCACAGGTTGACTGTGCATTGTGTGAATCAGTACTTCCTTTTGTTTGTTTCAAACCTGCTGCCTGTGGTGACCCCTCGTTCTTATGTTAGGAGGAGTTAATAACGCTTCCTTATTTACTTCCTCCACACCCTCCAACCTTCTCTAGACCTCGATCATATGCCCCCTTAGCCATCTCTTTTCCAGGCTGAAAAGTCCCACCCTTATTAATCTCTCCTCATATGGCTGCCATTCCATCCCCCTCATCATTTTGGTTGGGCTTTTCTGAAGCTTTTCCAATTCCAATGGATCTTTTTTGAGACGGGGCGACCACATTCGCACGCAGTGTTCAAGATGTGGACATCCCATGGATTTATATTGAGGCAACACGGTGTTTTCTGTCCCATTCTCTGTCCCTTTCTTAATATTTCCCAGCATTCTGTTCCCTTTTTTCACGGCCGCTGCACATGGAATGGATGATTTCAGAGAACTCTCCACAATGACCCCAAGATCTTTCTTGAGTGGTAAATTCGACCCATCATTGTGTATGTCTAGTTGGGATTACATTTGCCCATGTGCATTACTTTGCATTTATCAACATTGAATTTCATCTGCCGTTTTGTTGCCCAGTCACCCAGTTCTGAGAGATCCTTTAGTACCTCTTCACAGTCTGCTTTGGACTTTACTATCTTGAGTAGGTTTGTATCTTCTGCAAATTTTGCCACCTCACTATTTACCCCTTTTTCCAGAACATTTCGGAATATGGTGAATAGCACTGGGCCCAGTGCAGATCTCTGGGGGACTCCCACTATTTACCTCTCTCCCTTCTGAAAACTGACCATTTCTTCCTACCCTTTTTTCCCTATCTTTTAACCAGTTACTGAGCCATGGGAGGATTTTATCGCATGACAGCTCACTTTCTTCAAGAGCCTTTGGTGAGGGACCTTTTCAAAGGCTTTCTGAACATCTAAGTACACTATATCCACGGGATCCCCCTTGTCCCCACGCTTGTTGACCCCCTCAGAGAATGCTAGTAGATTGGTGAGGTGTGATTTCCCTTTACAGAAACCATGTTTACCCTTCCCCAACAAATTATGTTCATCAATGTGTCTGACAGTTCTCTTCTTTCCTATAGTTTCAATGAATTTACCCTGTACTGAAGTCAGACTTATTGGCCTGTTGTTGCTGGCATCACCTCTGGAGCCCTTTTTAGAAATTGCAGTATCCTCTAGCCATTTGGGACAGAAGCTTATTTAAATGGTAGTCTACAAACCACAGTTAGTAGTTCTGTAATTTGACGTTTGAGTTCCTTCCTAACTCTTGGGCGAATCCCATCTGGTCCAGGTGACTTATTCCTGTTTAATTTATCAATTTGTTGCAAAAACTCCTGTAATGACTCCTCAATCTGGGACAGTACCTCAGATTTGTCACCAAAACAGAATGGCTCAGGTTTGGGAATCTCCCTCCCAGCCTCAGCTGTGAAGACCGATGCACAGAATACATTTACTTTCTCTGCAGTGGCCTTATCCTCCTTGGGCATCTCAGGAAGTAGGATTCCAGGGTTGTCTCTGCAGCTCTGCCAGGGGAGTGGAGTCTAGTGGGTCAGAGCAAGGGGGGCTGGGACTGAGCGAGGACACCTGGCTCCACCTCGTGCTCTGTGTTCAGACCCCGCCCCCATCTGGAGGACTTACCCCGTGTTAACACCCCATAATCCTGAAAACAACGGTCCTCGGCGCCGGTGCAGGCCAAGATCCCAGTCGGCTGAATGTCAAAAGGATCCAATTTGAAAACCGACAGGCACTGCCGGCCGTTGGGGACGGAGCTCACAGTTCGCACTGGGAAAAGTCAGACACACACAGTCAGCCAGGGGTGGGGAGTCACCACACACTGGGCTCAATCCCAGCTCGGGGAAGGGAGTGGGGTCTAGTGTTTAGAGCAGGGGGGCTGGGAGCCAGGAATCTTGGGTTCTGTCCCCAGCTGTGGGAGGAGAGTGGGCTCTAGTGGTTAGAGATGGGGGGGTTGGGCTGGGAGCCAGGACTCCTGGGTTCTCTCCAGGCAGGTGTGGCCGGAGCACGGCTCTAGGTTTGCAGCAGACACACACCTGGGATGGCCCCGGCGTTGCAGCCGTCGGTGTCACAGCAGGCGATGTTCACCCGCACGGTGACATTGTGCGCGTAGGTCAGCGAGAAGGGACCGGACTCACAGTTCTTGGGCTCCAGGCACGATTTAGCCGTGTAGGATATGGAGTTTCCCTCTGTGGAAGGGAAACAGAGCATCACCTCTGAGCTCCCCAATGGACAGCCAGCTGCTCCATCCTCCCATTTTGTTCCATCCACCCCACCCCCAACTAATCTCATCTCCCCCCCCCGCGACAAAATCCTCTCTTCTGTCTGATCCAGCCCCACAGCCACACACTGCAATACCCCATCTCATCCCATCCCCCATCTATGACATTATCTTTCCAGACTGAGCAGTCAATGCTCCTAGAGAGGAGAAGAGACTATTGGTTAGAGTAGGGGGAGGGGCTGGGAGCCAGGACTCCTGGGTTCGACCCCTGGCTTCAGGAGGACAATGGTGTCTACACTTAGTAGGAATCTTCTTTCACTCACTTAGCCCGAACTCTGCCACGACGGTGACGCAGGTCCCTTCCGAGGGGGCGCAGGGCTGCAGGCGGCCGGAGCACGATTGCTCTCTGGACGCACACACCTCGCATTGCAGAGCGCTCCCTGGAGGTTGGAAAAATCCCTTCTCAGTACAAATCGTGGCTCCCCACCCCTCCTCAGGCAGTGCCCGTGGGCGAAATACCACCACCAACCAACTGTGGGAGTTGTTACCACCAATGCCTCACTGAACGTGTGGGCCGGCAGATCTTGGAGAAATGCCACCTGCTTTTGCAGCAGTTCTGCCCAGTTCCATTTAACTCTCCGGATGGGGAAAGGCATCTTGCTAGCTGGTCATTTATATCTGACTCAACACGGCAGACAAGTCTGTTTGCTGCCTGAGTGTCTGTGGCTAGAATACATTTTCAGCTGCTGACGTGGCTATCTGGGGTGCAGCTTGTGCCTGCTAACAAACCTCACACGTCTGTGTAGACAGAAAAACAAGACTTCGGCTGCTCTGAAGAGGGGTTTCTGCCTGGCTTTGCGGTGAACCTTTCTCACACACACACACACCCCGCCGTAGCTCTCTGCTCCAGGCCTCTGCCTCTCAGAGTTACGTCAACTCGACTTCAGCCCACTTTTCATCGCTGATCCTGCCAATTCTCTTCTTCAGAATACGATTGAGGCTTGTTAAACCTTTGGATTGATGGCTGTGCGCCTCCAGCCAGCAATCCCAGGAGCATCAACTCTTTCCTCTCCAGAGCATGGGGGACTTTAAATTCATGAGCGTAAGGTAGTTTTAAGAAAGAAAGAAAGAAAGAAAGAAAGAAAAAGAAAAGTTTTCCCACTTTGGTTTTTTTAAAGTTTTCATGTGGAAACATCAATTAAAACTCAGAACACATTCCCCTGCCCTTCTATCTCCCTAGATGGTTGCAAAGTTATATTACTATCAAAGAAATAGGGAAACTGAGGTAGAAAAAAGATGTGTTCAATTCAGGGTATAAACCAAGAAGACAGCTGAGAACTCCTCACTCCTGACTCCCAGCCCACTCTAACCCACGAGATCCCACTCCTCTTTCAGAGCCACGGACAGAGCCCGGGAGTCCTGATTTGCAGCCATCTCTGCTCAAACTCACTACACCCCAGCCCTCTTCTACAGCTGGGGAATGAGTCCAGAAGACCTGGCTCCCAGCCCCCACCCGTTGCACCCCCATTCCCCTTTCAAACCCGGGGAATGAACCCAGGAGTCCTGGCAGGAATCTCAGCGCTGACAGGCAGGGGAACATTTCTAGGCAGGATGACATGTGGACGGGGGTGCTGCTCCTCATCCGGATGACCCCAAGCTCGGACGAGAGGTGGAGGAGGAACGAGAAGAAGGAAGGACAGACGGACTCAGACCCGCTGGCCAGGCCCCTAGCGTGGGCTGTGGGCGTCCCAGGCTCCAATCCCTGCTCTCCCCAAGTCAGCCGGGGGACGTGGCTCCAGGTTTTCCTCTCGCTGGTTTTACCCACAAATTCCATCCTGATGCCAGAATCCACCATCGACAGCAGCACTTTCCCCAAGTGAATTCCCGACCCCACCACCCGGCTCCCTGTGACCGGGGACGGATGGGACTCACCTGTGGCCAGGAGAGCGGACAGCAGGCAGAGGGGCAGAGCCACCCACATGGTGCCTGGATGTTAGCTGCAGTGAGCAGAACAGCGAGGAAGCATCTGGCTGTGGTTTTATCCGGCAGGATGGCAAATACCTGTCCCCTGGGTGATCGGCTGGGGCTGCCCCATGACATCCTGGTGGACCCGGAGATGGGAGATTTCACAACCCTGCATGTGACTTTGGCTGATCAGGTGATGCAATGTGTGTTGAGGCCAATTCCCTTGTGCGTTAGTGGAGATCTGTGGTTCTCAGCCAGGGGTCCGTGTACTCCAGGGGTACACACAGGTCTTCCAGGGGGTACATCAGCTTATCTTGAACTGAGAAAGGAAGCTATTTGTCAGTCACAATGTGGCCGTAACACTTATGTATTTTTATAATAACATAAGAAAGGACCTGTCATAAATATAAAGGGAAGGCAAACCACCTTTCTGTCCCCGGTGCTATAAAATCCCCCATGGCCAGTGGCAAAACACTTTCACCTGTTGTCATAAATAGAAAGGGAAGGGTAAACTCCTTTATAATCCCTCCTCTCCAGAGGAAAAATCCTCTCACCTGTAAAGGGTTAAGAAGCTAAAGGTAACCTCGCTGGCACCTGACCAAAATGACCAATGAGGAGATAAGATACTTTCAAAAGCTGGGAGGAGGGAGAAAAACAAAGGGTCTGTGTCTGTCTGTGTGATGCTTTTGCCGGGGACACAACAGGAATGGACTCTTAGAACTTAGTAAGTAATCTAGCTAGGTATGTGTTAGATTATGATTTGTTGAAATGGCTGAGAAAATAGCTGTGCTGAATAGAATGGATATTCCTGCCTGTGTGTCTCTTTGTAACTTAAGGTTTTGCCTAGAGGGATTCTCTCTCTTTTGAATCTAATTCCCCTGTAAGGTATTTGCCATCCTGATTTTACAGAGGTGATTCTTTTCTACTTCTATTAAAAGTCTTCTTGTAAGGAAACGCAATGCTTTTTCATTGTTCTAAGATCCAAGGGTTTGGGTCTGTGGTCACCTATGCAAATTGGTGAGGATTTTTACCAAACCTTCCCCAGGAAGTGGGGTGCAAGGGTTGGGAGGATTTTGGGGGGAAAGACGTGTCCAAACTACATTTCCCAGTAAACCCAGTTAAAGTTTGGTGGTGGCAGTAGAAATCTAGGGGCAAAGGACAAAATTAATTTGTACCTTGGGGAAGTTTTCACCTAAGCTGATGAAAGTAAGCTTAGGAGGTTTTCATGCAGGTCCCTACATCTGTACCCTAGAGTTCAGAGTGGGAAGGAACCTTGACTTGGTGGCAGAGTGGTGGGATTAACCTGAAATCATTTTGAGATCAATTTGAGATTTTTTTGAACCAGAAAAACGGATTTTAAAAAGGAAATATTTTTTTTCCTTTGGGGCTGCTGGAAAGGAGGTCCAACTGAAAGCAACTAGTTTTTTCTCTGCTTTGGGGCCAGAGCAGAGACAAAAGGGGATTATCTTTGTGAATTGCAGGTTTTCTTTGCCTGGAGGCAGAGGAGTTAATCTCCTGCAGATAAATTCACAGTCTTCGAAAACCTGAGGTTTTTTTCCCCCTAAAACTAAATGGAGGGGGGGGTGTTCTACCCATTTGCCTGGAGACAAAAGTGGCAGGTTTTGGGGTTTTTTTTAGGATTTTATTTTTTTTTTACAAGGAGCACAGAATTGAACACGAATTTTTTTTTTCCTTTGGGGCTGCTGATAAGCAGGTTTCCAAGTAGTTGGAAGTTTTTTCTTTGATTTGGGGCCAGAGCAGAGACAAACTGAATTGTCTTTTTCTGTAGCCTGACAGTCACTATCAGAGAAAAGGTATCCTATTCCAGCACAGCAAAATTTTACAGCCAAGTTTTTTTTGTTTGTTTATTTCCAAACCTCGGGTGTAAAGTTAGTTAAAAACAGAGAGGTTAGGATGACAGAATCCACGGCTCAAGAAACGCTGGAATTAGCCAGATTTCAGGCTGAGGGAAAAACAAAAGGAACATGAAAGACAGATAGAACTCATGCGGCTGGAGAAGGAGGTACAGGAGGCTGCCCACAGGAGGGAAATGGAGGCAAGGAAGCATGTGGAGGAGGAGAAGGAAAAAGAGAGGCAGCATGTGGAGGAGGAGAAGGAAAAAGAGAGGAAGCATGAACTGGAGATGGAGAAGGTAAAGGCTCAGCAGAATATACCAACAAACCCTAGCAATCCTTCTCCAGGTAGCACTTCCCATCCCAGAAAGTTCCCCACCTACAAGGCAGGCGATGATACCGAGGCCTTCTTAGAAAACTTCAAAAGGGCCTGCCTTGGGTACAGCATCCCTACAGACCAATACATGGTAGAGCTGAGGCCGCAGCTCAGTGGACAATTAGCTGAGGTGTTGGCTGAAATGCCTAAAGAACACATGAATGAGCATGAACTGTTTAAATCCGAGGCGAGAGTCAGAATGGGGATAACACCCGAGCATTCTCGTCGGAGGTTCAGAGCCCTAAGGTGGAAACCAGACGTGTCATTTACCTGACATGCCTACCACATTGTGAAACACTGGGATGCCTGGATATCAGGAGCAAGTGTTGAATCTCCAGTAAATTTGCCCTTCCTAATGCAAATGGAACAATTCTTAGAGGGTGTTCCTGAGGAAATAGAAAGATACATCCTCGATGGGAAGCCCAAAACTGTAATCGAGGCAGGAGAGATTGGAGACAGATGGGTAGAGGTGGCAGAGAAGAAAAAAACTGGTCGCAGTTGGAGCGGAGACCAGAAGGGACAACCCCAGACCACACCCTATTACCGGGGGCCGCCCAAGGCCCCACCTACCTCCCAAAGAACCCTCCAAACACCTTATCGTCCCACCACCCCGTTCTCCAGCAACCCACCTCACCCCAGTGACCCCTCAGCTGGACGATGTTTTAAATGTAACGGGCTGGGGCAAGTAAAGGCCAACTGCCCCAAGAACCCCAACAGATTACAGTTCATTGCACCGGAATCACACCAAAGATCCGCAGGCCCAGATACTTCCCAGATACCCTTGGAGTGGAGGGAAACTGTGAGTGTGGGCGGGAAGAAGGTCACCGCGTGGAGGGACACCGGAGCACAAGTGTCAGCTATCCATGCTTCCTTAGTGGACCCCAATTTAATCAACCCAGAGATCCAAGTGACGATTCAACCCTTCAAGTCCCACTCTTTCCATTTGCCTACAGCCAAATTGCCTGTCCAGTACCAGGGCTGGTCAGGAACGTGGACTTTTGCAGTCGATGATGATTATCCCATCCCCATGCTGTTGGGGGAAGACTTGGCCAATCATGTGAAGCGGGCCAAGAGGGTGGGAATGGTCACCCGCAGCCACTCTAAACAAGCCATGAGGCCTAGCTCTGTTCAGGAAACTTCTCTCAGGACCCGGTCAGAGGTGATGGACCCGGACCCCAGGCCAATGTCTGCAACAGCACTCGTGGATCCAGTCCCAGAGACCCAGACGGAACCAGTCCCAGAACCGGAACCAGAGGAACAACCAGCACCAGACCCATTGCCAGCACTGAATCCAGTACTTGCAACCTCAACACCAGAGGGCCCTACCGAACCTGAACCAGCAGCAGCCCATAACCCTACACAAGAGGCTCAGCCAGAGCCTGAACCCCAACATAGTGTCCCAGCGGAGAGCGGTTCACAGTCAACGGAAACAGCCCCATCCCCTACATTGCTTCCAGAAGGACCAAGCATAGGTCCACAATCCAATGAGGAACTGATGTCTCCAGCATCAAGGGAACAGTTCCAGACCGAACAGGAAGAGGATGAAAGCCTCCAGAGAGCTTGGACGGCAGCACGGAGCAACCCACCGCCTCTCAGCTCTTCTATTCGATCCAGGTTTGTTATAGAAAGAGGACTTTTATACAAAGAAACTCTTGCTGGTGGACACCAGGAAGACTGGCATCCTCAGAGACAGTTGGTAGTTCCAACTAAATACCGGGCCAAGCTCTTGAGCTTAGCCCATGATCACCCTAGTGGCCATGCTGGGGTGAACAGGACCAAAGACCGTTTTGGGGTGGCATTCCACTGGGAGGGAATGGGCAAGGATGTTTCTACTTATTTCCGGTCTTGTGAAGGATGCCAAAGAGTGGGAAAACCCCAAGACCAGGTCAAAACCCTTCTCCAACCACTCCCCATCATTGAAGTTCCATTTCAGTGAGTAGCTGTGGATATTCTGGGTCCTTTTCCGAAAAAGACACCCAGAGGGAAGCAGTACAGACTGACTTTCATGGATTTTGCCACCCGATGGCCGGAAGCAGGAGCTCTAAGCAACCCCAGGGCTAAAAGTGTGTGCCAGGCACTAGCAGACATTTTTGCCAGGGTAGGTTGGCCCTCCGACATCCTCACAGGTGCAGGGAGTAATTTCCTGGCAGGAACTATGGAAAACCTCTGGGAAGCTCATGGGGTAAATCACTTGGTTGCCACTCCTTACCACCATCAAACAAACGGCATGGTGGAGAAGTTGAATGGGACTTTGGGGGCCATGATACGTAAATTCGTAAATGAGCACTCCAAGGATTGGGACCTAGTGTTGCAGCAGTTGCTCTTTGCCTACAGAGCTGTACCACATCCCAGTTTAGGGTTTTCGCCATTTGAACTTGTATATGGCTGTGAGGTTAAGGGGCCATTTCAGTTGGTGAAGCAGCAATGGGAGGGATTTACACCTTCTCCAGGAACTAACATTCTGGACTTTGTAACCAACCTACAAAACACCCTCCGAACCTCCTTAGCCCTTGCTAGAGAAAACTTACAGGATGCTCAAAAAGAGCAAAAAGCCTGGTATGATAAACATGCCAGAGAGCGTTCCTTCAAAGTAGGGGACCAGGTCATGGTCTTAAAGGCGCTCCAGGCCCATAAAATGGAAGCATCGTGGGAAGGGCCATTCATGGTCCAGGAGCTCCTGGGAGCTGTTAATTACCTCATAGCATTCCCCACCTCCAACTGAAAGCTAAGATGTACCATATTAATTCTTTAAAGCCCTTTTATTCCAGAGAATTAAAGCTTTGTCAGTTTACAGCCCAGGGAGGAGACGACGCTGAGTGGCCTGAAGGTGTCTATTACGAAGGGAAAACTGTTGGTGGTGTGGAAGAGGTGAACCTCTCCATGACCCTTGGGCGTATGCAGTGACAGCAGACCAAGGAGCTGTGCACTAGCTACGCGCCGACATTCTCATCCACCCCAGGACTGACTGAACGGGCATACCACTCCATTGACACAGGTAATGCTCACCCAATTAAAGTCCAACCTTACCGGGTGTCTCCTCAAGCTAAAACTGCTATAGACCGGGAGATCAGGATATGTTACAGAGTGCATGGGCATCTCCAGTGGTTCTAGTTCCCAAACCAGATGGGAAGATACGTTTTTGTGTGGACTACCATAAGCTAAACGCTGTAACTCGCCCAGACAACTATCCAATGCCACGCACAGATGAACTATTAGAGAAACTGGGGCGGGCCCAGTTCATCTCTACCTTGGACTTAACCAAGGGGTACTGGCAGGTACCGCTAGATGAATCCACCAAGGAAAGGTCAGCCTTCATCACACATCTCGGGCTGTATGAATTTAATGTCCTACCTTTCGGGCTGTGGAATGCACCCGCCACCTTCCAAAGACTTGTAGATGGTCTCCTAGCGGGATGAGGAGAATATGCATCGCCTACCTTGACGACGTGGCCATATTTTCAGATTCCTGGGCAGAACACCTGGAACATCTACAAAAAGTCCTTGAGCGCATAAGGGAGGCAGGACTAACTGTTAAGGTTAAGAAGTGTCAAATAGGCCTAAACAGTGTGACTTACCTTGGACACCAGGTGGGTCAAGGAACTATCAGCCACCTACAAGCCAAAGTGGATGCTATCCAAAAATGGCCTGTCCCAAAGTCAAAGAAACAGGTTCAATCCTTCTTAGGTTTGGCTTGTTATTACAGACGATTTGAACTGCAATAGAGCCAAATTGCCACCCCACTGAGAGACCTAACCAAAAAGAAACAGCCAAATGCCATTCAGTGGACCAAAAAGTGTCAGGAGGCCTTTAACCAGCTTAAAGCGACACTCATGTCTGACCCTGTACTAAGGGCCCCGGACTTTGACAAACCGTTCCTAGTAACCACAGATGCGTCCGAGCGTGGTGTGGGAGAAGTTTTAATGCAGAAAGGACCTGATCAAGAATTCCACCCTGTAGTGTTTCTCAGCAGAAAACTGTCTGAGAGGGAAAGCAACTGGTCAGTCAGTGAAAAAGAATGTTTCGCCATTGTCTACATCCTGGAAAAGATACGCCCACACGTTTGGGGATGGCGTTTCCACCTGCAAAGCGACCATGCTGCACTACAGTGGCTTCATACCGCTACGGGAAATAACAAAACACTTCTTCGGTGGAGTTTAGCTCTCCAAGATTTTGATTTCGACATCCAACACATCTCAGGAGCTTCTCACAAAGTGGCTGATGCACTCTCCTGTGAAAGTTTCCCACAATCAACTGGTTAAAATTGTCCTTGAGATGTGGAAAAGATTGTTAGTCTTTATGTACTTGGTAGTATATTTAGAGGTGCATGTGTCTTATTAACTCTGTTTTCACTAGAGCTCCAGGAAGAAATCCCAGCCAGCGTTTCACCGTAGCTGAGATTTGGGGGGCGTGTCATAAATATAAAGGGAAGGGTAAACCCCTTTAAAATCCCTCCTGGCCAGAGGAAAAATCCTCTCACCTGTAAAGGGTTAAGAAGCTAAAGGTAACCTCGCTGGCACCTGACCAAAACGACCAATGAGGAGACAAGATACTTTCAAAAGCTGGGAGGAGGGAGAAAAACAAAGGGTCTGGCTCTGTCTGTATGCTGCTTTTGCCGGGGATAGAAAAGGAATGGAGTCTTCGTACCTTTAGTAAGTAATCTAGCTAGGTATATGTTAGATTATGATTTCTTTAATTGGCTGAGAAAAGAATTGTGATGAGTAGAATGACTATTCCCGTCTGTGTGCCTTTTTTGTAACTTAAGGTTTTGCCTAGAGGGAATCTCTATGTTTTGAATGTAATTACTCTGTAAGGTATCTACCATCCTGATTTTACAGAGGTGATTCCTTCACTTCTATTAAAAGTCTTCTTGTAAGAAAACTGAATGCTTTTTCATCGTTCTAAGATCCAAGGGTTTGGGTCTGTGGTCACCTATGCAAATTGGTGAGGATTTGTACCAAACCTTCCCCAGGAAGTGGGGTGCAAGTGTTGGGAGCATTTTGGGGGAAAGATGTGTCCAAACTACGTTTCCCAGTAAACACAGATAAAGTTTGGTGGTGGCAGTGGAAATCCAAGTGCAAAGGGTAAAATTAATTTGTACCTTGGGGAAGTTTTAACCTAAGCTGGTGGAGGTAAGCTTAGGAGGTTTTCATGCAGGTCCCCACATCTGTACCCTAGAGTTCGGAGTGGAGAAGGAACCTTGAGAACGGCGTAGGGATGCTAACGAAGAACTTTAGCACCAGAAAAATGCTGACCCCAAAGGCAGGGGCCATCGCGTGTGTAGACCACCGCGTTCCTCCCTCCCCCCATCGAAGTCAAAGCCCATGTGGGTGGGGGCCCTGCCACCTTGTTCTCTGGGAGAAGAGGCTATAAGGATGGATTGAGGGAACACTGCCTCGCTGGGCTGGCTGGACTCTTACACGGACCGGTACCGGATGCAAAGCGGGGATCCCTGGGGCCCGTCTGGGGGCACTTGAAAAGACTTGGAAAAATGGCAGTTTCTCCCATCACAGCCACCGTTTGGAATTACAGAATGCGACTCACCTGGGCATGAATTTTACCACTTTAACTGCTCGTGACCCTAATTCCCTTTCCTTAGCTCACGACCCTTTAGCGACTTTCCTACAAACCTGGCTGCCAGCGTTGCCTTTGCTGTAGGATCTGGAGTCCCGTGGCTCTGGGGTAAGTGACCGGTCTCCTGGGGCAGGGGACAACCTGGGTGGGCTGGTTTGGGGTGTACGTGACCTTTCCTCACAAAGTCTGGCTTGTCTGAGAGTATCTGAGGGGACTGGCAGTGACTCCGGGGTCAGACGGGGGCAGCGATCCAGGAGTTCACGCTGGGTGAAATCTGCTCACAGAGCACCACCGGTTGGGGGGATCTGCCCTGTTTCCTGACACCTTCCCTGAGCTCGGCACTCCCAGTGGAGCCGCCCCAGAGAGCGGGACGAACTGAGCCCTGCAAAATCAACCTAGAAGGACATTTCTCCCCTCCAGGGTGTTCCCGCCCGCCTGGACAGCTGGGTGAGCCACGGTGTCTCCTTCCCCAGGGGAGCTCAGCCAGCCCATGCCTTTCCCCCGGCCTTGCCTTGCGGGAGGGGGCCTAGACAGGACTCCTGGGTTCCATTCCCTGGCCCTGCAAGGGGAGAGGGGTCCAGTGGTTAGAGCAGGGGTCTTGGGAGCCAGGACTCCTGGGCTCTATCCCTGGCTTTCAGAAGGGAGTGGGGTCTGGTGGGTTACAGGGTGGGGTACTGGGAGTCAGGACTCCCAGGTTCTCTTCCTGTCAACATCACTTGTGCACAGATAGGGACGGGGGGGAGAGGCGGGACTGGGCGGTCAGGGGACAAGGAGCGAGGGGGGTGCTTTCTGCACAACTCCCTTTACTCAGCCAATGCACAAAAGGAAGCCACAATCCCCCCCAAAGAGAGGGAGCAGCCGGTGGCTGCTGAAGGGAGGTGCACTGCAGCCCGGCACTCAGGAGAAGGGGAGGACGCCAGGCCAGGGCTCGGGGCTCCCCGATGCCCCCGCCAGCCCTGGGAGCTGGGTAGCACTCGCTCTGGATCTGCCACTCCACCACGCCCTGGATGTATTTCCGCTCCCCCACTCTCTTCATGCAAGCGCCAGGGGAGCCACATCCAGCCACAGCTTTCATCGCGGTGATGCCACCTGGACGGGGGGAGAGAGATGTAATCAGGGGCTCCCACATCCCCCCTCCCCCGACCCCCATGTGGTTTCTCACACACTCCCCTCCCAGCAGGACTGCACCCGGCTCTGCAAGCAGAGTGGGGTCCAGTGCTCAGAGCAGGGGGCTGGAACTATGTGAGAACATAACAGAGGAACCGCCCTCCTCAGTCACACCAAAGGTCCATCTAGCCCAGTATCCTCTGGCCAATCCCAGGTACCCCAGAGGGAATGCACAGAACAGGGAATCATCCAATGATCCATCCCCTGTCACCCATTCCCAGCTCCTGGCAAACAGAGGGTAGGGCCACCTTCCCCTGCCCATCCTCGCTAATAGCCACAGATGGACCTGTCTTCCAGGAACTTCTCTAGTTCCTGTTTGAACCCTGTAATAGTCTTGGCCTTCAAAACATACTCTGGCAAGGAGTTCCACAGTTTGACTGTCTTATTCTCTGTCCGTTTCTTAATGATTCCCAGCTTTCTGTTCCCTTTCTTCATGGCCGCTGCACATGGAGTTGATGATTTCAGAGAACTTTCCACAATGACTCCAAGATCTTTCCTGAGTGGTAAATGCGACCCATCATTGTGTATGTCTAGTTGGGATTACGTTTGCCCATGTGCGTTACTTTGCATTTATCAACATTGAATTTCCTCTCCCGTTTTGTTGCCCAGTCACCCAGTTCAGAGATCCTTTAGTACCTCTTCACAGTCTGCTTTGGACTTCACTATCTTGAGTAGCTTTGTATCTTCTGCAGATTTTGCCACCTCACTATTTACTCCTTTTTCCAGAACATTTTGGAATATGGTGAATAGGATTGGGCCCAGTGCAGATCCCTGGGGGACTCCCACTATTTACCTCTCTCCCTTCTGAAAACTGACCATTTCTTCCTACCCTTTTTTCCCTATCTTTTAACCAGTTACTGAGCCACGAGAGGATTTTATCGCATGACAGCTCACTTTGCTTAAGAGCCTTTGGTGAGGGACGCTTTCTGAAAATCTAAGTACACTATATCCATGGGATCCCCCTTGTCCACACGCTTGTTGACCCCCTCAGAGAATTCTAGTAGATTGGTGAGGCGTGATTTCCCTTTACCGAAACCATGTTGACCCTTCCCCAACAAATTATGTTCATCTATGTGTCTGACAGTTCTCTTCTTTCCTATAGTTTCAATGAGTTTGCCCAGTACTGAAGTCAGACTTATTGGCCTGCAGCTGCCGGGATCACCTCTGGAGCCCTTTTTAGAAATTGGCGTGTCATCAGCCATCCTCCAGCCAGTTGGAACAGAAGCTGATTTAGATAGTAGGTTACAAACCACAGTTAGTCGTTCTGTAATTTGACATTTGATTTCCTTCCAAACTCTTGGGCGAATCCCATCTGGACCTGGTGACTTATTACTGTTTAATTTATCAATTTGTTGCAAAAACTCCTGTAATGATTCCTCAATATGGGACAGTTCCTCAGATTTGTCACCAAAACAGAATGGCTCAGGTTTGGGAATCTCCCTCCCATCCTCAGCCGTGAAGACCGTTGCACAGAATTCATTTACTTTCTCTGCAGTGGCCTTATCCTCCTTGGGTGCTCCTTTGGCATCTCAGCAAGTAGGACTCCAGGGTTCTCTCTGCAACTCTGCCAGGGGAGTGGAGTCTAGTGGGTCAGAGCAAGGGGGGCTGGGACTGAGCCAGGACACCTGGGCTCCACCTCGTGCTCTGTGTTCAGACGCCGCCCCCATCTGGAGGACTTACCCAGTGTTAATATCCCAGATTCCTCAACACAATGGTCCTCGGCGCCGGTGCAGGCCAAGAGCTCCTTCTCCTTCTCCTGCCAGCCATCTGCCCCCATTTTGAAGAACGACAGGCACTGCCGGCCGTTGGGGACGGAGCTCACAGTTGGCACTGAGAACAGTCAGACACACACAGTCAGCCAGGGGTGGGGAGTCACCACACGCTGGGCTCGATCCCAGCTCAGGGAAGGGAGTGGGGTCTAGTGTTTAGAGCAGGGGGGCTGGGAGCCAGGACTCCTGGGTTCTCTCCAGGCAGGTGTGGCCGGAGCAGGGCTCTAGGTTTGCAGCAGACACACGCCTGGGATGGCCCCGGCCTTGCAGCCGTCGGTGAGCCAGCAGGCGATGTTCGCCCACACGGTGACATTGTGCCCGGGTGTTTGCTTCAGTGAGCAGAACAGCGAGGAAGAATCTGGCTGTGGTTTTATCCGGCAGGTTACCAAGTACCTGCCCCCTGGGGGATCGGCTGGGGCTGCGCCATAACATCCTGGTGGACCCGGAGATGGGAGATTTCACAGCCCTGCATGTGACACTGGCTGATCAGGTGATGCCAGTGTGTACTGAAGCCAATTCCCTTGTGCGTTAGTGGAGATCAGCGGTTCTCAGCCAGGGGTCCGTGTACCCCAGGGGTACACACAGGTCTTCCGGGGGTACATCAGCTCATCTGGATATTTGCCTCGTTTTACAACAGGCCACATTAAGGCACGAGTGAAGTCAGTACGAACTAAACTGTCGACCCCTTGTTCATATTGCTCTATATTCTCTACACTGAAATGCAAGCACCAGAAAAGTGTCGACTCCAAAGCCGGGGACCATCCTGTCCTGTCAACTCTCTTCTTCCGAATTTGATTGGTGATCGTTCACCCTCGCCACTGATGGCTTCACACCTCCATCATGCATGCAAAAACTCTGGGCTGGCTGAAGAGATCCCATGATCGTTAACTCTTTCCTGTCCAGAGCTTGGGAGAGTTTCAATTCAGTCAGTGAACATAAGTTTTTAATAGAAGGACGAAAGAAAGAAAACCAATTGGTTCACTTTGTTTTTTTCCAGAGCTTTCCTCTGGAAACATCACTTCAACCTCCAAATGCCTTCCCCTGCCTTTGCCAGGGTCCCAGGTGGGAGGAAGGGAACATTGTCACGGAGTCCCTGGGCGATGCTCTGGAACTGCTCCCCATGAAGCCAGTCAGGACTCTGGGGAAGTCTCCTCTCGGGGAGCAGCCTGTCTGCAGGACACACAGCTCACCCGGCTCCACCTTCCTGGGTCTGACCTCGGAGCATTCAGCATCCTCTGCCCCTCCCTGCGCTTCCCACAGCGAGTCCGCCCAGGCGGGGTCCTGGGGAACCCAGAGGGTCCTGCACCCCAACTCCGCAGTCAGACGTGACTCTCAGCCAGCCAGTAAAACAGAGGTTTATTAGACGACAAGAACATGGTCTAATACAGAGCTTGCAGGTGCAGAGAACAGGACCCCTCAGCTGGGTCCATTTTGAGGGGCAGTGAGCCAGACAACCACGTCTGCACTTCACTCCATGTCCCAGCCAGCCCCAAACTGAAACTCCCTCCCGCCCCTCCTCCTCTGGGCTTTGTCTCTTTCCCAGGCCAGGAGGTCACCTGATTCCTTTGTTCTCCAACCCTTTAGCTCTCACCTTGCAGGGGGGGAAGGGCCCAGGCCATCAGTTGCCAGGAAACAGGGTGTCAGCCGTTCTCTGTGTCCAGACTCCTGCAAACACCTGCCCTCTAGGGCTCTGCAATGATCATACACCCTCACCCCACCACCTAGACACCCAAGAACTGCCCAGGGGAAACCGAGGCACCCCCACACCACTCAGAGGAAACATCAAGAACAGTCCCACTTCAACACAAACATTACCCCCATCTTATAAACAGGGAAACTGAGGCAGAAAGAGGCAGTGTCAGACTCGGAGCCACGAATACAGCCAAGGAGTTAGATTTCAGAGTAGCAGCCGTGTTAGTCTGTATCCCCAAAAAGGACGGGAGTGCTTGTGGCACCTTAGAGACTAACAAATTTATATGACTTTGTTAGTCTCTAAGTTGCTACAAGTACTCCCGTTCTTTTAAGCAAGGAGTCCTTATTGCTGCTGGCTTCCAGCCTATTCTAGACCCACCCCGTCCCTGACCTGGGGATAGAACCCAGGAGTCCTGGCTCCCAGAAATGAGACTATGTGAGTCAGTGCGATGGTGCAACAGTGTCCCCTCCTGGCCAAGCAGGGCGCGGTCCCGGCTCACCCAGCTCAGCGCGGCCCTCACGCTAGTCCCTGTGCCCAGGAATCTGCAAAACCCTGTCTGCTGCTCGGCCCTTTTCTCCCTGCACTCGCTGGGCCAGCGTGGGGTACATACACCCCAGAAGAGACCCCCCCACTCCCTCCCAGAGCCGGGGAATGATCCCAGGAGTCCTGGCAGGAATCTCAGCGCAGGGGGCAGGGGAACATTTCCAAGCAGGATGACAAGGGTGGGGGACGGTTTTCCTGACTCCTGAGAATTGTCTGTGATTTCCAAATGATTCCTGCTCCTCATCGGTGCCCGGCTCCATGTGCCTGGGGACGGATGGGACTCCCCTGTGACCAGGTGAGCAGACAGCAGGAAGAGGGGCTGGGGCGCCCACATGGTGGCCGGACATTTTCTGCAGTGACCAGAGCAGCAATGAAGCTGCTGGCTGTGGGTACGGCAGGCAGGTTCAGAGAATCGGAGAACCATAGAAGATCGGGGTTGGAAGAGAGCTCAGGAGGTCATCTAGTCCAACCCCTGCTCAAAGCAGGACCAACCCCAACTAATTCATCCCGGCCAGGCCTGTGTCAAGTAGGCCTTAAACACCTCAAAGGATGGAGATTCCACCCCCTCCCTAGGGAACCCAATGCAGCGCTTCACCACCCTCCTATTGAAATAGTGTTTCCTGATTTCCAGCCTAGACCTCCCCCACTGCAACTGGAGACCATTGCTCCTCGTTCTGTCATCTGCCACCACTGAGAACAGCCGAGCTCCACACTCTTTGGAATCCCCCTCAGGTAGTTGAAGGCTGCTCTCAAATTCCTCCTCACTCTTCTCTTCTGCAGACGAAAGAAGCCCAGTTCCCTCAGCCTCCCCTCCTAAGTCACGTGCTCCAGCCCCCTAATCATTTTCGTTGTCCTCTGCTGGACTCTCTCCAATTTTTCCACATCCCTTCTGTAGTGGGGGTCCCAAAACTGGACCCAGTACTCCAGATGTGGCCTCACCAATGCCGAATAGAGGGGAATAATCACTTCCCTCCATCTGCTGGCAACGCTCCTACCAATACAGCCCAATATGCCGTTGGCCTTCTTGGCAACAAGGCCACCCTGCTGTCTCATAGCCAGCTTCTGATCCACTGTAATCCCCAGGTCCTTCTCTGCAGAAGGGTTGGCAAAAACCTGCCCCCTGCGGGATCGGCTGGGGCTGCCCCATGACATTCTGGTGGACCCGGAGATGGGAGATTTCACAGCCCTGCATGTGACACTGGCTGATCAGATGATGCCAATGTGTCTTGAGGCCAATTCCCTTGTGCGTTAGTGGAGATCAGTGGTTCTCAGCCACTGGTCCGTGTACCCCAGGGGTACACACAGGTCTTCCAGGGGGAACATCAGCTCATCTTGATGTTTGCCTCATTTTACAACAGGCCAGATATAAAGCACTAGTGAAGTCAACACGAGCTAAAATTTCCGGACACAATGACTTGTTTGTGCAGCTCTATGTACTGTCCACTGAAATGTAAGTGCAATATTTATATCCCAGTGGAGTTATTTTATAATTACATGGTGGAACTGAGAAAGGAAGCTATTTGTCAGTCACGATGTGGCCGTGACACTTATGTATTTTTATAATAACGTAAGAAAGGACCTGTCATAAATATAAAGGGAAGGGGAACCACCTTTCTGTCCCCGGTGCTGTAAAATCCCTCGTGGCCAGAGGCAAAACACTTTCACCTGTAAAGGGTTAAGAAGCTAAGGCAACCTTGCTGGCACCTGACCCAAAATGACCAATGAGGAGACAAGATACTTTCAAATCGGGAGTGAGGGAAACAAAGGGACTGCTTATCTGTGTGATCTTTTGCTGGAACAGCTCAGGAATGGAGTCTCAGAACTTCTGTTAGTTAGTAAGTAATCTAGCTAGAAATGCGTTAGATTTCCTTTTGTTTAATGGCTGGTAAAATAAGCTGTGCTGGAGGGAATGAATATTCCTGGTTTGGTGTCTTTTTGTAACTTAAGGTTTTGCCTAGAGGATTCTCTATGTTTTGAATTTGATTACCCTGGAAGGTATTTACCATCCTGATTTTACAGGGGTGATTCTTTCACCTTTTCTTTCATTCAAATTCTTCTTTTAAGAACCCGTTTGCTTTTTCATTGTTCTGAAGATCCAAGGGTTTGGGTCTGTGTTCACTTGTACAAATTGGGGAGGATTCTTATCAAGCCTTCCCCAGGAAAGGGGGTGTAGGACTTGGGGTGATATTTTGGGGGAAGACGTCTCCAAGTGGGCTCTTTCCCTGGTCTTTGTGTAAGACACTTGGTGGTGGCAGCGTACGGTTCAAGGACAAGGCAAAGTTTGTACCTTGGGGAAGTTTTTAACCTAAGTTGGTAAGAATAAGCTGAGGGGGTCTTTCCTGCGGGTCCCCACATCTGTACCCTAGAGTTCAGAGTGGGGAAGGAACCCTGACAGGGCCACACTGGGTCAGACCAAAGGTCCATCTAACCTAGTATCCTGTCTTCCGACAGTGGCCAATGCCAGGTGCCCAGAGGGAATGAACAGAACAGGTAATCAAACATCAAGTGTTCCATCCCCTGTCCTCCATTCACAGCTTCTGGCAAACAGAGGCTAAGGACACCATCCCTACCCAGCCTGGCTAATAGCCATTGATGGCCCTATCCTCCATGAATTTATCTAGCTCTTTTTTGAACCCAGCTTACTTTTGGACTTTGCACATTCCTCTGGCAAGGAGTTCCACAGGTTGATGGTGCATTATGTGAAAAAACACTTCCCTTTGTTTTTTTAAACCTACTGCCTCTTAATTTCATTTGGTGGCCCCTAGTTCTTGTGTTATGAGAAGGAGTAAATAACACTTCCTTATCTACTTTCTCCACACCACTCATGATTTTCTAGACCTCTCCCCTATCCCCCCTTGTCCGTCTCTTTTCCAAGCTGAAAAGTCCCACTCTTATGAATCTCTCCTCACGGAAGCTGTTCCATCCCCCTAATAATTTTATGACCCTTTTCTGAATCTTTTCTGAATACAGTGGATGTATTGTTTCTTGACTTTAGCAAAGCTTTTGACACGGTCTCCCACAGTATTCTTGTCAGCAAGTGAAGGAAGTATGGGCTGGATGAATGCACTATAAGGTGGGTAGAAAGCTGGCTAGATTGTCGGGCTCAACGGGTAGTGATCAATGGCTCCATGTCTAGTTGGCAGCCGGTATCAAGTGGAGTGCCCCAGGGGTCGGTCCTGGGGCCGGTTTTGTTCAATATCTTCATAAATGATCTGGAGGATGGTGTGGATTGCACTCTCAGCAAATTTGCGGATGATACTAAACTGGGAGGAGTGGTAGATACGCTGGAGGGGAGGGATAGGATACAGAGGGACCTAGACAAATTGGAGGATTGGGCCAAAAGAAATCTGATGAGGTTCAATAAGGATAAGTGCAGGGTCCTGCACTTAGGATGGAAGAATCCAATGCACAGCTACAGACTACGGACCGAATGGCTAGGCAGCAGTTCTGCGGAAAAGGACCTAGGGGTGACAGTGGATGAGAAGCTGGATATGAGTCAGCAGTGTGCCCTTGTTCCCAAGAAGGCCAATGGCATTTTGGGATGTATAAGTAGGGGCATAGTGAGCAGATCGAGGGACGTGATCATTCCCCTCTATTCGACAT